TCCTTGTGATCCCTCAAGAATGGGATGAGGGAATTAATTCCTGATACAAAACATGGGAGTTTGGCTGTGGAATATTTAGTGCAATCAACTTTGAAAAAGCTGTAATTAGTGAGCCAAGGCTGATTAATTGGTGGTGGGTCAGGGCTGGAACATGAACGTGGGGTGGCAGCTTTGGTTCGGACAAGGTTTGGTTCATCTGAGAAAAATGAAATTAAATAATATTTATACTTACATTAAATAATTAAATAATAAAAAATAGAATTTGGCTGTGCTTTTTGGACTATTTTTGATGAATTTGCATTAAAAAAACCCAACAATTTCCAGTTGGTGGCATTTTTCTGGATGACAGATGATGACGTGCATGTTTCGGTGTCTTCTTGTGCTCTTTCTGTTCACCATGAGATATATAATGAATTTAATCTTAAATTTTCCATTTTTTTACATGCTTCAGGATATAGAAGTAAAGGTGAGTAGTTAAGGAAGAAACAACCGAAAAAACAAAGTTTTAATTGGATTTTATCATTAATTGTGGACCTGGGATGTGTTTGAGTTGATAATTTAGTTGTTAAATGCTTCAGAGCTTGTTCAAACCCACTTCTCTGGTATTTTCACTGGAGAACTCAGAGCTTTGCATGTTTTTCTCTATGTGGGGGTTTTAATGAGTTTTTATAATTCCTAATGAGTCTCCTTAATACAAGATGTGGGGAAATTCTCCAGATGAAAAGCCAAAAACATGTCAAATTGCTGGAAGCAGTGTGTCTTGAATGAACACCCAAGTTATATTGTGTCAAAAATAGAAATGTTCAGAATTATTCTGCATTATTTTAAGTTACTGGACATGGGAGTGATCCAGTGGTAAAGGATTCCAACTTACTTTGTGGATATTTAACCGACTGAGGAGTTTCAGAGGACTAATTATTAATTAAAAAAAACCAAACAAACAGCATTTCTATGTACTTTTAGGCAGATATTGGAAGGATTTGGTTCTTTCCAAACATTCCCATGCTTAGAATTAAGTTTCCCAGAGTTCACAAGGTGCATTCCAATAAAAAAAATTACAAATCCATCCCGGCCTGGTCCGTTTGGTTCCATTTCTGTGACGTTCCCAAATCCATTTGGCCAAACTCTGGCACAACTCTTGAGGAGGGAAGGGGAAAAAAAAAAAAAAGCACAATAGCCAATATCTTTGATCCAGTTTTAACTTTCTACTGCCTTTTTTTTTAGGCCAGGCAGCTGGAAGAGAAGGACAGGGAGCTGAAGAAACACGATGCCTACTACAAAGAGCAGCTGGCTCGACTCGAGGAGAGGGTAAAGCCTTTTATTTGCCATTTTGTGAGGAGTTTTCTGGCCAGTTCTTCTTTTTTTGGTCTGAACTGCTTCTGTCTCTGGCTCAATATTGACAAGATGGGAGGTTTGATGGGGAGAATATTGTTTTCTTTGCTGTGGGAGTTCATCAGTCACAGGAATTACCTCCAGAGAAATGAAATCACGAGGTTATTTTCTGCCAGCACTGGTGAAGGGCCAGTGGAAGTGAATAAATGTTCACCAACCAGCCTTAAAATTCCTTGGGAAGTGTGGAAGGACAGAGGGAATTTCTGCTTCCCTTGGATGGAGTTGGTAATCCCCCAAAAAGCCGTCAGGGCGTGGCGAGTTTAATGTTAATTCCAAATTTATAGTATGTTTAAAAAGCCCTTTTTCTCCCAGTAAACTTGGAACTCAAGTGCACAGAACACCCTGGCAGGCTGTGGGACGTGCTTTAACATATTGCTGTTCACACTCTGGTTCTTTATAGGGTGTTATTTTGTAGGATCTTAATTTCAAATAATTGCTGCTGCCAGCGTTTGCCAGCTCTCAGGTTGGTTGTAACCTGAACACATTTCCCCCCCATACCCCTCTGCCTTCTTCTTGAGCTTATCTGTTGTTGATTAATTCGGATTTTTGGTTTGGGGGATGATTAACAAGATACATATTCATTTATGCAGCTTAGCAGGCTGGGAGAGACCCCCTTGTTTTTATGGATTAGGGAGAGGAGCATGTTGCATGAATTATCAGTGTGTATAATTGCTCTTAATGAATATTTTAAATAGGGGACATATCTGATACCATCTCAGTGCTTTGTCCTGCCTTTTTGAAGATGACATTAATGAAGTCTGTGTTCTTGGCAATGAAAAAGAGTTTGAAAGGCTGAGGGGAAATTAGTTTAATGGTTCTAAATCGGTGCATTATTTAAACAGCTACAGATTAAGATCTTTCACCACAAACCCCACAGAATACCTTCCTTATTCTGAATTAACTGGCTGGCTTTGGGGGAAAAGCACCTGCAGGTTCTCAGCCAAACTGGTGCCTTTTGGGGTGGTTGCACCTGTGCTCTCAGTGTGTGGTGCAAGTAAACCTGGAGTAATTCATGGCAAAGGGTGTGGGATAAACCAGGGATCTTTGGAAGCTTTTCCTTTTGCCTCCTGAAGGTCCTGTTCAGCAAATAAGGTTTTATTCTTAGTTATTTTTAATGTTAGGGCAGGTTGCTGGTGCAGGGCCTTCTCTTGCTCCTGAGAAGTGAAGACTTCCAATGTGGAACCACGTTTTAACACGTGCATAAATATGTCATTGTGGTGTGCAAGGGGGGATAAGGACCTTTAAATAACTTCATTTGAGTTCTCCTGGGGTGTCATCCCCCAAATGCTGTGAGATAGGTGAGCTCTGCCACCCCTTGCCCATCTCCTTGGGCTTGGAATTCTCCAGGACCACAGCAGGTGGTTCGGAATTCCCTGTCTTACACCATGGATGATGTTTGCTCTGTCTTCAGAATGGAGCTTTTGTGATGCCAAAGCCTTGCCTTTAGATTCTGACTTTTTATTTGTGAGCTAAAAAACCTCTGCTTTGAGTTGTCATCCGGTTCGGTATCAAGGTACATGAGCATCTCTCTCCTGCACAAAAAAGGAGTTGTTCCAGCTCTGAAAGGAGGTGAACTCTGTGCTCCAAATGTGACTTGGAACTTGTTCAGGGATGTGGAGATCACAGAGTGGAAACCTGGAGAAGCAGGGGGGTCGTGGATGCTGCAATTCCACCTTCTCCAAGGCTTGGCCTGCAGCCGTCGCCGAGGTTCATCCGGGAGCTCCCGGGTTGGGATTTTTGAAAATTGGGATGGTAAATAGAGGTTTAATAAAACAGGAAGGCCTGGGAATCACAGAGCATGGTGGAAGGCTGATTATTTGTTGCTAAACTCGTCCTGAAGGTGCAGAGTCAGAGCAGGGGGAAGATGAGAACGGGAGGTGTGGAGGGAGCGGAGCCGAGCTCGGAGGAGCAATGTCAGGCTGGAGGAATGTGCAGTGTGAGTCTGTCACCTGTGACAGAGAATGCTAATTGCATTCTCAGATCATCCTCACATCAAATGAGCACACTTTAAAACCCCTTCAGCTGTGCCTGTGTGGTATTTCTGTGTGTTGCATCACCGGGTGTCAGAGCTCATCTCGATGATTAATTGGCTTTTTGATTACTTAGCTTTTTCAATTAGGAGCTTCTTATTTGTGTTCTTCAGAGCTGCTGAAAAAACAATGCAGACGTTGATAATAAAGGGAGATGACAACAGAACAGATTAGTGTCAGCCTGGCGTGCTCCTTATGGAGAAAATTATCCATATTCAGTGCCAGATGAAGTCTGTCAATTATAAAATATTTCAGTGACTGAGAGAAGATGCTCAACCTTTCCAGGGCATTAATACAGGACAGAATAACTGTGCACCAGTGACAGCTGCGATACTAAAACATTAACAGTTCTGTTCTCCAGGGGAATATCTGTTCATAAATTTGGTTTATGTGCTAAAAACCTTTTGATACTTCCCCAAAACCCAGCAATTCCCCGAACAGCTGCCAGTGTTTCTAGGTCAGGGACAGCACATCAGCTATTAGTTAGTACATGTTCCACAGCAGCAAAGCAATGTGAGGGAGTTGAACAAAGGAGTTAAAGAACAGCCTTCCCGTGCTCTATAACTGACTGAGATGTGAAGGTGTTGTTGAGGTGTTCACACATTAGGCTTGGAGAGAAATTTGGGTTTTTTGCTGCCCACTTAGCGGGTTGATGGTGCTTCTTGGTTATGGTGAAGAACCAGAGTGGTGACACCACTGTCTGGTGTGTGCCCAACACTGTCCTAATGATTCACTTCCCGGTGCAAACTCCTGCACGTGGGTCAGGGCAGTCCCAAAAATCCCACAAATCCAGGCAGAGGATGGATGGAGAGCAGCCCTGCAGAGAAGGACTTGGGGGGTTGGTGGATGAGAAGCTCAACATGACCCGTTGCAGCCCAGAAACCCCACCCGTTGTCCAGGGCTCATCCCACAGCAGGGGTAACAGGGCAGGGGGAGGATTTTCCTCCTCTTCCCTTGTGAGACCCCCCTGCAGAGCTGCCTCCAGCTCTGGGAACAACAGCACAGGGACATGGAGCTGCTGGAGCAAATCCAGAGGAGGCCCTGGAGCTGCTCTGAGGGCTGGATCCCTCTGCTCTGGAGCCAGGCTGGGAGAGCTGGGAATGTTCCCCTGGAGAAGAGAAGGCTCCAGGGAGAGCTGAGAGCCCCTGGCAGGGCCTAAAGGGGCTCCAGGAGAGCTGGAGAGGGACTGGGGACAAGGCCTGGAGGGACAGGACACAGGGAATGGCTTCCCAGTGCCAGAGGGCAGGATGAGATGGGATATTGGGAAGGAATTGGTGTCTGGGAGGATGGGAAGTCCCTGGCCCAGGTTGCCCAGAGAAGCTGTGGCTGCCCCTGGATCCCTGGGAGTGTCCAAGGCCAGGTTGGAGCAACCTGGGCTAGTGGAAGGTGTCCCTGCCCCTGGCAGGGGATGGCACTGGATGGTGTTTAAGGCCCCCTTGAACCCAACCCATGCTGTGACTCCACGATGATAAGGGGGCATTGGTGGCATTTTAAACCATTTGATTTTTCTAGAAAAAGAGCAGAGTAAGAAAGAGAACAAGTCACATCTGGGGCAGATTGAGCATCTTATTACCTGGAAGAACAACCCTGTGACTTTGTTCTCCCTCATCCTCAGGTGTGTATCCACACACACTCCCACACTTACCCAGTGACTTTGTTCTCCCTCATCCTCAGGTGTGTATCCACACACACTCCCACACTTCTGTCCTGTTGTGTCCATCATTTTGTTCAGCTCCTCCACTTCCACTTCCCTTGTCCCACTGGCTCGGTGTCACTTCCAAGCCCCAATGACTTGGAGCCTTCATGAGCATCTTTGCCACTCTAATGTCAGGGTACCACTGGTTATGGTGCCCTCATTTTTGAGGTTGCCCTCAGTTTTGTCTGGAGAGCAGCTGGGTCCCTTCACCTGGTTGCTTTTGCTTTACTCCAGTTTTTAACGAAGGAATCCCGACCCTCTCCTGCTTCTCATGACAGTTCTGGCATCACACAGACTCTCAGTGAGGTGTGTCTGTGTGTGCTCTGTCTCTGAGACTGATGGGACTCCCTGGTTCAAATTTCCTTCAGCGATCCCAGCTCTTTTTCCTGTTGCTCTGCTTCCTCATGCTAATATGCATCATTAGGAGAATCATGCCCCAAGTCATGGGAGCAGAAGGAAATTAATTTTAATACACTGCTGTATGACACAACTGCTTAGTTTATCAGTGTGAATGAGCAAGAGATGTATCCCCATATTAATCAGGGTTATTTCTCACTGGAGCCAAGTTTCTGTGCTTGAGAGTTTCCTAGAAATACTTGCAGCAAGTGTTGAGCAGTCTGTGAATATGCTGATGGTGGGAGGTGATGGGATTATCCTGGAGAGGCTGAGGGAGCAGGGGGGGGCTCAACCTGGAGGAAAGGAGGCTCAGGGGGGACCTTCTGGCTCCCTAAAAATCCGTGGAAGGAGATTGGAGCCAAGGAGGGCTCGGGCTCTGCTCTCAGGGAACAAAGGGCAAGACAAGAGGGAACAGCCTTGAGTTGCACCAGGGAAAGTTTAGGTTGGATATCAGGGAAAAATTATGCAGGGAAAGGGTGGTCAAACATTGGAACAGGCTGCCCTGGGCAATGGTGGAGTCCCCATCCCTGGAGGGATTTAAAAGCCCTGTGGATGTGGCACTTGGGGACACGGGTCAGTGGTGGCCTTGGCACTGCTGGGGGAAAAGCAGGACTCTATGATCTTAAAAGTCTTTTCCAAGCTAAAGCATTCCATGATTCTGTGACTCTGTTAGCATTTGGAAGTTTTAGTATTAGGTTGGATCCTGGTTTAACAATGTCCAAGTTACTTCCCTGATGCTCCTCTCCCCAATCCTTGACCTCCACATGGCCCTGGGGGCTGGAGTGTCCTTTGGGCAGGGAGATTCCTGCTCCTCCCAGGGCTCAGTGCCTGCTCCCAGCCTGGGAATACAGACAGTAACTTCAGGGAATGTGATACACTTATCTGCATCCTTCTTTCCCACTACTTCAGTGTTGAAGAAGGATTTGCAAATCCTGAGTTCAGCACTTAATTTGGGGATTCTCCTTCCCACGTCGGGGCTGTCAAGGAGCATTAACCTTAAGGTAAGATGAGCACAGGGAGCACAAAGCTCTGAGCTGATGGCACATCCTCTTCCAGGTGTTAAATGGTATTATCCATCCTGCTTGCCACAGTAAATAGGATTTTGCTATTATGATGTGTCAGGATTTTCAGAGAAATCAAATTTACCAGGCACTAAACTGCCACCCTCTCTGCTGAGCAGCTTTATTCTGGGATCTTGTATTCAGCCTAATCCTGTTGGTGGGAAATGCTTATACCAATTGTGTGGGGAAATTATAACTTAATGATCTCTCCTTCTTTCTATTCAAGGCTTAGAATGGCCCTACATGCTTTGCAGTGATAGCCCCAGTGCTCAGGAAGGAGCTGAAGAGCAGCTTCCCAGCCAGGAATTGGCTTTTCTGGGGGTGTTTGGAATCAGCAGGAGCTCTCAGGTGCCAGCAGAGCGAGTCCCACGTTTGTTCAGATGCTTCAGAGCCTTGTTTACCTTTTCAGATCTCAACAACTAAATAATCAGGAGCTGTTTACTGGCTTTTTTTTTTTTTTGTAAACTGTATTTTGCAAGATGTAGATAACAGAGGGGGACTATTATGAAGCAGGATAATAAACCACAAACATTTTCATTCCCTGCGACGTGATTTAGTGATTTAAAGAGGTTTTTTTTTTTTGTTTCTATTTGTTTTCATTTATCAGCCTGTTTACTCTCTTTGCTCCCATGACTGTATCAGCAAGAATTTCCTCAGCAGAGGCTGGTTCTGCTCTCACCTCTCGTGTTTAGGAGTTTGTATTTGCTACAGCAAACATGTTTATTCTCCCCAGAGTCGTGCTGCATTCCCTCAGTCTTCCAAAGCCAAGGAGCAGGGATGTAGGTGTTTGGAGACTCCAGGCTGGATCCAGCAAAGCAGGGAATTATTTTGCCTTTCCTGAGGTAGGGAAAGCTCAGCAAACCCCGTATCCTTATTCCTTTGCACACATGGAATTACTCCAGCAGTCTCTAAATATCCATGGGTTGAGAGAAAATAGCTCCATCATTCCTATTCTGCTTCTATTTTTGATACATTCTTGGTGGTTTTGTTGTGTTTCCATCTCTCTGGCTGGCTCTATTCCTCTTTATTTCCCTCCCTGTATCAAATAAATATATAAATATATATATATATGCACACTCACACAGCCTGTCAGTGCATTAACTCTATTTCCAAACACTTCTCCGATAGAAGCAATAAAATACATTACAGCTTCCATTTGATGAATTCCACTGAGTGCCACATCAGATCACTGCTAATGAATTGTGTTATTTCTGGGAAGTTTGTGGTGCCTTTTCCTTTTTTCCAGTGGATATTCAACTGCAACAGCGAATATCCCAAACCGCTGCCGAGGAGAAAAATCAAGATATATTAATTTCCCCTCTTTGTGCTTGGGCCAAGAGACTTTTCCGTGTCTCAGCTCGTGTGCTGCACCAGGGAGATAAAAGCAGGAGTTCATCAGACTTTCCCAGTGCTTTGTATTTCCATTTTTGCTCCTGAAAACCACCCTTTTCAGCGTAATGTTTTTGTCAGCTTGGCACAATAAAACTGTCAGCCCGACCTGTGATCCTGCCACTATTAGAATATTCCTCTCTTCAAATTCCATTCTGTTTTTGGGAGGAGGGGACACACACAGAGCTTTTGTTGACTCGCTTCTTGCCTGGCAGGCTGAGATTAGGAAAACTTGCTCCCAATTATGGCACCTGAAAGGTGCCCCCTGAGTGACAGGCTGGGCTGGAGCCTTCGCCGAGTCCTGCCTTAAATTCCCTCCCTCCGTATCTTGCTGAGCCACAATCATCCTTCTCACCCATTTCCCTGCTCATAATCTTCTATTTACCATGTCTGACTAAGCAGCTGAGATGTTTATTATTAAACACATATATTTTTTTTGCCCCTCGGGGCGCCCAGAGTGCGCCAGAGTTTCGTGTTTGCCGTGGAAAAAAACCCCTGCTCCGTTCTCCTCTTCCACTATCACATTTCCAATCAATAGCTGAGCTGAAATGCTGCTTAATAACAAAATAAGGAGTTGTTCCACGCTGAATAGGAGGTATTGATGTTGCTCTAAATGTTTGTGTATAGATTATTTTTCCATCCTGTGTGTGCCTGTGTCTTTATGGAGAACAACAAAACCTGCCATAACTAATATTCCAGGTTTTTTTTTTTAAAACCTGTGCAGGAAAACTCCTGATAACTTTTAATGTGTAACCACTGGTTTCATACAGGTTGTTTGCAGTCTTTTTTATTTTTTATTTCTCCAGTATGAGCAAAGCAAGGGGTATTAGGAAGGTTTTTAATTTGTGCTAGTTTTAGTTTGGGGAAGAAGATGAGTAATTTCCATGGTTTTTGGTTTGTAGGAAGTTTCAGAAGGTCTTGGTGTGATGGAATTGTGGATAACTCAGAGGCCTGGAGCAGGGATGAGTTTATAGAATCATGGAGTGGTTTGG